GATAAAACATGCATGAGATAATAAACTACGTACTATAAAAAGGGCGCAGAGACAACTCAGCACTTATTCCACTTATGTGATTCTATTTTTGAGATTTCACTGCAAGATGTAGTACTTGCAACAATAATATGCAAACATGTTCTTCATTTGTGGATTGTGCAATGGAAATGCTAGAGTATCAGCTGAAGAGTACGGAAAGCGATATCTTAGTGAGCAACTTTTTGCGACTATGGAATAGAAAAGTGCGTGGGAGATTATAAATAACTGGTATACCGAGAATCGACATAGATACTGAAGAAGGAGTGCTACAGTTAATTGACGTATTTCGCAGAACGTTGTAAGTAGCTAGGTCGGGCAGTACATTGAATTCTAGGCAGTGAGCTGCGGAAGGGTGCTTCAAGAACTGAGAAATGCAGTTTCACAGAAAATTTCCTGGATGGACTGAGACAGTTTCCGAATAGCAGGCATTTATAACATTCACAATTTACATCGGGTTAGTAAAATTCCTTGTACCATCTGAATTAGCAGGAAGTGAAACTTATTCAAATCTACTAAAACTGTTAGGTGAGAGCCCAAGCGCTATTGTCTAAAATGTCGAAAACGTAGAAGGATTAACGATTCTCGGACGCATAACGTCCAAAAAATATAATATCCCGATTTGGAAATGCACCATGGTTAGTTCCGGCGTGTAACAGTAAAACTTCTCATTCTCCATCTCTATAATTCGGAAAGTAGAAGAAACGTTGGAACAGTGTTACTATGAGGATCAAAACCTCTGTAACTTTGAAAGGTTATTCCATTGAGCGAAAGGCAAAAAACGTCACCAACTTAGGTTTCAGCTTATTTTAGGATTTTTGCCCGTATTCAAATTATTTCATAAGCTAAGAGCATTGAAAAATTCAGAAGCTCGTTTTCATATCACCTAACCATTTCACTGCATATTCAAAAATGTATACAATGGGCTAAAAAAGTCCAAGTTGGTTAAGATGTGAATCGTGATTGGAATTTTGCTTCAAAAATCCCTTCTCATGTCATTTGGTTGGTTTTTGGGTAGTTGGCCATCGTAAAATATTTTCATTTGACGTTTCGCCAGTACAGTAGCTCACAGGACTCCGAACTGTGAACACCTTCTGAAGATGCCAACCACTCGTGTTGATAAAACGTCAAATAAAAATATTTTACGACGGCCTGAGTACCCAAAAACCAACCAAATAACATTGGATGATACCTGTATCCATTAAAAAAATTTAAATTTGAAGATTTTTTTCATACATGGTTTTGAAGCTGTACTGGAAGACAAGAGGTAGTGGCATATCCTTTGATTTAAAACTAATGTTGTAGCTCTTACACCTAGCATTGAAATGTTGAGGCGGTTGGTCACCTATTTGTATGTTGTTTTTCTGTGGTCGCTGATTGGATTTTTGTGATAGTCTGACGTCGTGCTTCATTAATGCTATTTTTAGGTTTTTGCAAATTCCCAATTTTTTTCGTACAAGTATTTGAATCGTATTTTTATACTTTTCGAAAAATATAGATGCGACCGAGATCAAATTTCGTGTCCACAGTAACTAGAGAATGTTTGGGTCATAAACCGATTGTTTCTTAAAAAACTTGCTTTTATAGACAATGTTATTTGGTAACTTTTCTACCAGGCTTCTTCTGTCACGTTTTGGATGCTCATGACACGTAAAACAACGGAATCCTGACCATATGTAAAAAAAGATTTAAGATTGCTCAAATAAACGAGATAACTCCCAAATACGATGAAAAAATAGCTCCATCCAATAACCGCTGTCAAGATGATTTTAGAAACCAGCGAACATTTAAGAATTTGGATATATAATACATTAACAAGAAGAAGGATGTTTACTAGAGTAAAATACATTTTAGTATTATAGAAAACACAAAAATAAGATATACGGGAATGATGCACTTGTATGTTTTAAATCAGTGATAAAAATCGTAGATACAAAAAACTCTGTTCTCATAATTACATTGACAACCTGTAACACTTGAAATAGTCCCGGAAATTTCCACTTCCCAATAACAAATATAAATATTTTATTAACTGCTTATATTATGTACTGTGATTTAAGTCATTGCTATCGATCATTATGAAGCAGGTTGTTAGAAAAAGCAATACTCTTAATTTAGTGGCATCTTCAGACTTCTTCAGAAATTAATTACCTATTGCCACCTCTCTGACTATTTGACTTCGCTGCTGCAGACTGTTGTTATTCTTTCCCATAGCCCGTCGGACGTTCGAAAAGAAATAAAAGCGAAATGTGGCCGGCTTTTGCCAGAGCCATTTTTGTTGATGGAAATTTGAGGGTAAGGGTTGTATGTTTTTCTTTCCTTTTTGTGTTACTGCGTGGATGTATTACGGATTCACCGGACAGAAGTAAAGGCAACACTTATTATACTTATATACGGACTTCAAAGCAATCCAGCTCATATCAGAAATATGGGTCCAAACAGAAGGACGCTTGAATGACTTCTCCAAGCTTGTCTGTATATGGATGTACATAAATGTACCGGATGCTCCAAAACTTCAGGTAGGTTACATGAAGAATATAGTTTAAACTAATTTGTTTTGTCGTCATTTACTTTCTGTGCTATATATATATATATGGTTTGGTCAATTTCAAGCGTATCTATGTTTCCTTTTTAGTCTTTGTGTGAGATGCGAAAGGAATACGTGTATATTTATGTATATGTGTACAGGGTTTACCGAACTTAAATGGATTTGGCAAAATGGTGTCACGTGCTAAAATCACGTAACCCTTCTTTTTACTGTTTTGATCACTTATGAGTAATTTGAATTTCCCTTTATTGATTATAGAGTGCCCATTCCTAGACCAAACCCTTTTTAATGATTTTATTTTGGTAAATTTCATAGTTTATTGATTGTAGAATTTCTCACGTATTATATCTGTCATTCTCAGCGACTCAATATTGTATTGAAATCTTTCTTCTATCTGAGAAATTTACTCATAAAGTATTGTTGGTCCCTCGTAGACAGATTTGTTTCTGCCGTCGCTCTGCCCAGTGGCAACCAGCGCGCCACCTTGTGACTTTACACGTACTAGCAGTATAGGGACATTTCGTTCTATCAACATACCTTCTTCAAGACCATTCATTTAACCATGTCTTAATGTTTACTTTCCTATCAAGATACCTTCTGTTAAAAAGTGAAATAATCTAGCCCGGCACTGGCATCTTTCAGCATCCGTCCAGGTATACGTAATTCCTGGGTACGGGCTTCAATATGCTCATTCAAGTACGGATCACCCTGTATGTATATGTATTAAAGATGGCAATTAGCTTAAATACACATTTTACTTGAATTTGCGATATCATACTTTATAGAGGTGGAAGTAACACAATTGCAATCGTGGTATCCACTTCCTATTGAGAATGACCCGAGGCGAACGCAAGTTCGTTTTTATTGCGTTTTGTAACAAGATCGGCAGCAGCATTTAAGGAATTTCCACAACTTTCACCGCCAACTTGAAACAATGACCAACAAGTGTTTGTTCTACTTTGCCGTAAGTCGATGACTGTCTTCTTGTTAGATTGAGATGTATGATGGCTGGTTGAATTTATCAGCGTTATTTGTTGGCCATTTATATTATATCTGTTTTAAGGTGTGGAATGATGAATGATTGTAATTGAGGTGGTTATACAGATATTGGCAGGCCTATAGTTTTCTTTCTGATTAAGGTTATGGTTAGAAAATTGTGAAAGTTCATTCACAGATTCGAATGAAATTCATTTTGCCAGAACTTAATATTGTGTCGAAGATGCGAACGTCTTCTGCGGGTTATACTCATTTGAAACAGTAGGTAGAAAATAAAAGCTACAAAAAAATAATATCCAGTATGACAGGAACACAGCTTCGGAAGACCAAACGTCATGGAATATAATTTAGTCCTTTGGTTTTGAGCATAATGGTTAGAACACATATAGTATACCTGGCTTTTTGAAAATCATCCTCTTGACGACATTTTTATAGAAGCTTTTCGGGCTTGGCATATCCATTTAATTTGGATGTGCCCAAATAAGGCTCTTTACACCTCGTGGACGGGTCAAATATTTTTTTTCATCACCCTCTCATCACTAAATCGATCCTGTAGGATTATTGAGCTCTTTTATCCATACAAAAATCGCCACATGCTTCCTTCAAAACCTTCTAAAAGAATTATGATCGATCGAATATTTTTTTACGATTACAATGGTTCCTCAAATTTGCAGCATAAAAATAACACATGTTGCAATCAACCTATTTTCATTTCAATGCAAAATAAGTCCATAACTCATAGGTGGCTGTGAAAAATAAAAGCCATGACAATTGTTTTTATTAATCACAGCTGTAAAAATACGTTTAAAATAGTTTTGAGTAATTAAGGTTTTCAAAATGGCTAGAGGAACGTTTATTAGTGAGAAAATTCGGTTACTGATAACTAAATTTTGCAACTTTGTTAGATTTATCGCGGTACAGTGAGAGAAATATTGTTAGAAGATATAACGTAACTGGTTCAGTTAATATTAAGCCACGATATGTGAAAAAAAGTAATATCACAAATGCCGATAGAAGAGCATTATGAAGAATAATCGTGAAAAACAGGCCAATTATTTACAATTAAGTGCTCTGTAGAGTGATGCTGTTGGAAGGAGAATTTCGAGGTCCACAACTCATAGAGAGGCCCACAAACTGGGATTTAGCACTTTCAAGGTAACTTTTCTTAAAAAAAAAAGTGAAGTAAAAACCCTAAAGTTGCACAACTTGTTTATAGGCCAAAGAAAAGCCACTATTAACTCCACTCCAAAAGAAAAATCGGCTTAGATGGGCTAAAGAACATAGACAAGGGACACCTCAACAATGGTGTGCAATACAATGGAGTGATGAGGCCCGATTCGAAGTTTGTCATCAAAAGGAGTAGGAAAACTTCATTTTATTGACGGAAATGTGGATACAAACAAATACTTGTCAATTTTAGAAGAATCGCTTTTACCAGTGATGGAAGAATGTTTGACATCCGGCCAAGAATTTGTGTTTCAGCAAGATGGTGCAGCGTGCCATACCTCAAAAAAGCCTATAAAATGGATGGAAGAAAATAATGTACCACTTTTGAAATTGGTTTCTAGCAGTCCAGATCTGTCACCTATTAAAACTTTGTGGCACGAGATGAAAAAGGTTCTACGACAACATCCTGCTCGTACAATCACCGAACTGAGACAAAAGCTCCAAGAAATATGGGATTGTTTTACACTAAATTTTTGCCAAAACTTGGTTAACACTATGCCCCAAAGAATTTCAGCCGTAATAAAAAATAAAGGTGATGTTACCCAATGGTAATCTTTCAATTGTTGCTTTGTTAACTTCGCGCATTTATTCGCACATTGTTTATTTGGTCAGATGTTCTATTAGTTGTAGGTCTAAGTGATTTCAAATATGTATTTTTTACGACTAGAGTGTATCTAAAATATTTTTGAGAAAATAAATTGTTTTATTAGTAAACAGTTTCGTCATGTTTAGTTTATAAAGACATATTTTGGTACAAATGTTGAAGTGGGCCAACTGAAGTGGGAAGGGGCTCGTATGGTATATTGGAAGTGCCAACGAAAGTTGAAAGTAGTTTGGTAGAAAAACTATATTAAGATATTCGAAAATGGTTTACGCAGCAAGATTAACATCCTATAGGTGTGTATCTATAAATTATATTTTGAAATATACGGCATGCTGTACAATTTCGTAGCACCACAAACGTGTTTTCTTTGAGTGGATCACCCTGCACTTTATTGGACGTTTGGAAAAACCTTTCAAGAACAAGAGGACTGATCATCATTTGTTTAGTTTGTCATTTGTCTGGAGGCTTTTTAAGTCCGCCTTTTTGCTTAGTTCTTAATTGAACTTTAGAGATGAAAAAGTATGCCAACCTCAAGTCCAACTGCGGAAAGTACCAAAAATATGAAAATACCTCGTCTATTTTACTTCATCAGGTCTTCTATTACATAAGCTTTTCTTTGATACCAGATTTGTAGTAGTTTATTTGAACGGCTATCTGGTTGATAAGTGTGCGTGCTTTTTCACCATCTTTCAATGAAAACCTACACACAATGCCGGAATTAAGAGCTTTCAAAGAGATGCATTTTTTCTAGACAAATGAGAAAATAATTAAACAAATAACGATCAATTTGCTACAACGTATTATATCAATATTCTTGTTTTCGAAAGGTATTACCAAATATCTGATAAAATATAGGATGCTTAATTTAAAGAAGAACATGTTTGTTACGAATATGTCACGTTATTATACTACACCATGTGTATCTCCAAATATTTTAGAAATATACACCCATAAGGTGAAAATCCTGCTGCGCAAATCGTTTTCGAATGTCTCTTATAGTCTTTCTATTAAACGAGTTGCCAGTTTAGTTATGACACCCTGTATACATTGTATGTATTTACGTGATACTTATTATGCCGTCAAGTCTGAATATCCAATAGAAGAACATTTCTGGACTTTTCGCCCATTGGAACATTTGATCAGTACAACATGAACTATTACTGAAAGAACTTGCATTAAGATTGGCATATTTTGCCTGATACTTTGGTGACAAAGATTTGACGTAATTGGACAGGTAATCGTTGGTTGTCAGAGCGGTCCGTGGGACCTTAGCTCTTAAGTCACAGTGTCAGTTTGTAGGTCTGTCAGGTCTGGTAACCCAGAAACCAAACAATTTTAAGAAAAAAAAAGAGAGGACGTTGTAATTTATGTACGCCCTGACCATAGATTGTGATTCTGTTTTTGAATGTTTTCTAGCATCGAAATATTGATTCCTATTAGCCAGTGTCTCATAGAGAGCTATATGGAGGATTTTTAAAATTTATGAATTTCTGATATGTTTCCTCCAAAGATCTCAGCGATGGTGCCAAGATGTGCTTCCCCTGCAATATATTATTAAGATCCATCGATTGTTGTGTCAATTTTACAATATTTCAGGTTTTTTTTTTTTTTTTGGCGGGTCACATTCAAATTAACAGAATCAGTTTTATACATCCGTCCCGCACATCTACGCAATATGATTTCTGCGCGAAGGTTTCTTCATGTAAGCTCAGACATATAGTCGGAATCACGAAAGATGACGGTTACGTCATCATTTTAGTCAGTAGTAAAGACAAATGACATCGATTTGTGAATATTCTTTAAAGTTTCAGATATGTTAGGCAGAGACAAACATAATTTTATTGTCTAAACAAAGTGTGTTGCTGTTTTGCATGTATCCAACAAAGATAGACGATGTTTTCATGTTGCATGATCGATCATATTTGAAACATGAATAGTTAGGTTATGTTAAGGCAGGTAAGGTTGTTTTCGAATAATACTTTGGTCTTCGGTGTTCCTGTCTTAAGGTATTCTACTCATCACTGTTTTTTCAAAACAAAAACTCCCCACTAAAACTATTATTACGGTATCACTCAAAACCATGAAATAAAATGAAAATAAAAATAATCAGTGAAATAACCTAACTTCGCAAAATCATAAAACGAATTTGTTGTCATGTTCCTGACATCGTGATTTTATCATCGACGTACGTCCATTGATTACTTCAGTATAATTTATGGTATGACGTAATAGTCATCTTTCGTGACTTTGACTATATAATTATGCTTGTTACTGTCATTGTGACAACCCACTTGACATGGGCCTAACATTTCAAATTTACCTTTTGTTGATCTTCATAGTATAAAACATACAATATCGATAGTTTTTGCCCTAATTATTGGAGTATTGTGAGAAAGTGAACGAAAATAATGGCCCTTTATCAATCAACTTATGTGTACAAGGTCAGCGACATTTAAGACGGCCAGCCATAGTCAGCTGTTTCGTGCTATTTGGCAACTCTTCAGCATGGTAAAGAGGCATGATTTCGATGGACAACAAACCAAGCTGAGCAACCCTACTGTATCCATAGTATAAGCTCTATCGGAGCAGGATAGCACAAAGTGCAATCCAGTACCAGTATCGACCATATGAGCTGGCATGCAGTTCCATCAGACAGCTTGTTGTTTTCACTTTCACAGTGGTCGATTCTGGTAATTGTTGGACTTTGTGCTGTCTTATTTTGATGGTTTAGTTAGTCGATTCGCTTACGACTTCCTATGGCATTAATGACGTAACCGCAAAAAACCGTGAAAGGAGTAGGCTGCGAATCCCATACTTGATTTATCCTTAATCGACTGGTCTATACGATCGATATGTACGTATGTGTGCGTATGTGTAACTGCCGCAATCTTTGTCGTCCGTTTCCAGCAGGTGCCTCTCTATTGAGCCGGCTTTCTCCTGCGTGCCGTACGCACTTGTTGCTTCTGGTTCAGGTTGTACCATGTGCCCACTCACTGTGAATCTATCTTCAATTATTTATCGATTTTAACAAGTTACTGCAGCCAGGCGGATTAAGGCGCGACCAGCGATAATGGCGACAACTATGCCTTAAGGCGACAAGCTCATTCGACTGGGTTTGCTTTTGCTTCGGTGCTCGTGGATATGCATGTCGACTAGACATTTATATATTTAAGACTTTGCGTGTTAATGACTTAGAAAATATCTCTTTTCGTTCATGTACTCTAAACGAATTGTTATGAAAATTTCTATTTCATTCGTAATTATGCAGTCACAGTAATTAATTGTGTTGTACTACAAGCTTCTGGAAAAGAAATAGTGACGAGACTACCAGTGGCTACGTTATATTTGCTGTAAGCTTTCTCGTTTTATATGTGGTTTCGTATACTTGGGAATCAAAAGGTGTCGTCAAGAATATTTTGCCCTTTGGTGGTGACTTGAGGCTCTTGAGACTTTTTTTGTATTCTTATTGCTATGAGAAGCCTGAAGGAACTTTGTTATACCTATTTCTGCCTAATGCCTAAGGTTAGTGAAACTGGGAAAAGCCCCCTCAGGTGGATCGTCCCAAAACCTCTATACCCTAGACCTAGAGGCAAAGGTTCGGACGAACCGACCAGTTCTAGGTACATGAAGTTTGACCGTGCCGGGTATTACGTATCTTGAAAAGTGACGTTATACTGTTTTTTTTTTTGACGTTAGACGTTGGTTTTTAGACAAGATGTTAATTATATGGACCTTTTAAACCGACTTGCCTATCTTTGTCTATTCGATATGTTTGTAGCTATCTTTTCTCTGATAGGGGCTAACTGCCGATCATAATCGTTTATGAACTGATGCCAGCATGTGAGAGTTGTGTTGGAAGTGCACAGTCAATTTACTTATCTCCATCTGCATATTATGCCCTATGTAGCAGCCCCGTATTTGATCCATTTTGAATCCATATAAAAAATACTGCAATCGTTATCGTGTAGGTATCGGCCTGCAATTCCGTTACTCCTTGGAACATCGCCGTCGCGTCACGTCAACAAACATGATGTGCAAGCATCGCGTGCATGCAGATATTAAAATGCGGCCGGTCATTGTTGAGGCCGCATTGTAGCCGGGCAGGGGAAATAGTCCGAGAAATTTAGATTATAATTAAGGAAGCGTCGAACTTTAATTTCGAGCCAATGATGTTGTATTGTGTGTTGTCTATATCACACACATAGGTTCAATATTAACTATGGGTACATCTCTTCGCTGGAGCTGCATTATCGTATCAGTTACCAGTAGATGGCTGGTGGAGTAGTACAGTGTACAGTAGTACCTACTACTACTACTACTACCACTACTACAGTCATATTTTAATTAATGAGGAAAATAAAACAAACACGTACACATTTTTCTCCTAGACCAAGTTAATGATCTCAAAAAAAAACAACCTATCGACACTATTTATAGAGAAAACTGACAGGTGTGCTCTTCCCATTGTTTGAAGTTGTACCACTTTCTAACCTGTTTGATGTTACTTTAAACTTCCTTCATACTACCTACCTGAAGTGCGATTTTCTTCTTTTTCCCAATGTGTAGGAAAGAGCAGCCAATGATATAGATTTCTGAAAAATTGTGCTATAAACGATATGCTCTTCAGAATGTCCAGGTGAAGGATGTGCCTGGAGGAAGACCAGAAGCAACATTATTGGTGTTGATCACCACCTACAGCAATACGTGTCTCTGTTTTATCATTGATGTTTGAGAAAAATGAGAGCCTGTAGTCTTTGCTCACAACAGTCCCTCCAACTGTATAGTT